CTCCGATCAACGCGTTATTCAAGGGAGACTACATCGCGGAGACTACATCGCCGCGGAGTGCGTTAAGCAGGGATTTGCCAAAGGGGCTTATATACATTCGTTATTAATTTCGGCGCCGATCAAATGACGGTATTAGTTCCTTCTTTTTCAACGAGAATTCAATAACCCGAGTGTACGAGACGAGAGGAAAAAATGACGGAGAACTCGCACACGTTTCTCGTCGCTGACTCACATGATGGATGACAGACCGAGTAAGCCTCTCTCTCGGTCGTTTAAGCCGTCGTTTAGCCGAACCCCGCTGTTCCTCCTTGATACATCGTCTTTTCGGTAAACCGAAGACGCTACGAAACACGATCGTGAAATACCGCTACGTAGGTTATGCTAGACGAGGGGGAGGGTCAGGGGAGGGGAGGCGTCCGGGCGACGGTAGCAATGACACACGACTGCTCGTAAAACACCGCGGGAAAGCGCCTTAAGGCACCGCGCGCGGACGTAGACACACGTACGCGGTTTATGCTCCAGATTCCAACCTCGTCCGGTCACAGCTCGGCTATTTGCAGCGTCGTGGGCTAAAACTCGCTGTGTTTTCCGTGGCTGCGGAAAAAAAACCCGCTAGCGATCACGCGATTCGGGACGACGCGAAAATGTATCGCCAATAAATTTTCGCGGGGTTTAAGTCGCGCGTTCGCGATGCTTTCTTTTCCGAGGGGTTCGCTTTGTCTCTTTCTATTTTCGCGGACGAGATACATCAACGGAAAGCACCGCAAATTATTTCATGCAATTCTCTCTCATCATATTAGGTTTATTTACACATTCTTCCTCTATCTTTCGCCCCGTTTCGCAGCATTTATTTTCTAACTAGGAGATGGTTTATGTCGGTACATTTTCTGAGGAAAGAGTGCACGCGAGAAAGATATAACATGAAATATGAAAGACATTGCTCACCATACGTTACCATGTAAGTTAATATATTGAAACAAACTCCACCGAAATCTTCTAATTTTTCTACACTCGCGCACAAATTGAAGAAGAATAAGACTGATTACAGTCTATGAGTTCATCGAGCTTGCGTCATTAAGCTTGCGTCAAGACTCGCTTGTCCTTTTCTCCGAAACTACATATCTGAATTTTGCATGAGCATGACATAAATTTCTTACGTCATCTCCGAAGAAGGATGCCGCAATATGTTTCAGACGTATAAGAGCAATCTTTTTTTATGTTTCTGCAAATAAATTTTAAAACTTTAAAATATATTGCAAAGCAATAAAGCCAAGCTTATATTTATCGCGAATTACATCGTTAAATGAAAGTAACTTTTAAATGTAAATGTTCGGTGAAACTGCCGATAAAATTCTTGCACAAGCAAAACAACATCTCTAACCATTTCGTAATCAAACATCATCAGATGTTGGAAGAGCGCGACATCCCTAGCGATATAGACGTTATCGTTTTATGTAAAGCTGAGGTTCAGGGCCGTGTGTAGTTCTAACTTCGAAATAGAATTTCATGAAGTTTCAAGTGATCGCGGGCGAACATCATTTCCTGTTCCGGACTCTCTCAGCGACGATTCCTATGGTCGACGGTGGACTTTCGTTCGCGTGATTTCGGCCCGTAAAGGTGGGCGTTTCCCTTTTGCGCGTTGGACTTAAAATTTCACGAGGCACGTGACGCTGAAAAGGACACTAAAATCGTTACTTCTAATTCCCGGAAAGCGCCAACGTAGGATTTTGTAAAGAGATCTTAAAGTAATCCACAATTTTCTATATATAATATTTCTCAAACTAAAATTAAATTAATACTTTTATCGTTCTTTAAATGATAATTCTCTTTTTGCAACTCCATTCTTATAACGATTTTAAAAACGACGAATAAAATATTCTGCTTTTCATAATTTTCATAATTTCATAAATACTTAACATTTATAACTATTGCTGTTGTTTTTATAATTAAATTACAGGGACAAACGTTTCCTAATAAAAAATGTAGAAAAATTGAGAATAATTGTCGCAAACATTGTGCTATGTTTAAATAAAAATTGACAGCGCCGTTAAAAGAAAACAAAGCCGCATCACTTCATCGTCATATTTAGAACACCGGCAACTTTATTACTCGCCTGTTAACTTGCAACTTTGTGGCAAACAGCATCATCACGGTCCACGAAACTTCCCGAGTGTTGTTCCCAAAGTCGATTCCGACGTTACCTCGGGCTCGGTGTACGTTTCACAAAAATTGCAAATTATTGCCGCCGCAAACGTCGCAGACAGAGAAGACGGGGAGAAGAGCGGAGGAGGAAAGGAGGTCTCGGGAAATCCAGTTCGTTTTTATCACCTTGCCAGATTCTTAAGCAGAACGGATGCGAGGAACGACATTTTCGTTAGAGGCCGAAAGCAGAGTTGATCTCGTCGTTGAGCAACGTCGGAATAAATCGTCGACTTTGGCTTTCTCGCTTCAGCAGAAGATTCGTTATATATCCTCCGCCTCCTCTCTTTTAATCTCCATTTCAACGTAACAATTTCATTTTTTCTTCCGTGCTTAAAAATATTTAAAAATATGCTGCACTCCCGGGGCGATCGCGTACTGAATATCGAGTACATCGTTTAAAAGCAATCAAATGGAAGGTAGCGAGAGGATATGCGTAACAAAAAACTGCGGGTATAGTAAATAAATCTATTTGTGTAAAACACACAATTCTAATTTCCGATCGAAATGATCGCGAAAGCCGCGTACAAAGAGACGTTATACAAAATAATAGAGGAACGGTCGGCGATTCGAGATTTAATTTAATTTCAGAAAGATTTGATCTCAATGCGGGATAACGTCCTTTTTGTTTCGAAGATAAACCGGTCAACCTTTATCTCCCGCTTTTTAGCTACGAAGTGCGAACCGGCGTCTTTCCATTACTTTCTTTCCCCGTCGCTGTCGGTGGATTCGTAGGACCTGATAAAGTTCCACCTTCTTTTTCTCACCTTGAGATCATCTCGTTCCGCGATTACTTGCAGCGGCTGGAAATCGCTCCTTCAATTTTGTCAGAGAATCACGGATCCCCTACCGGGAACCCGGATTTAATCAACGTCCTGTCTTCCGGCTCGTATAAATTTCCTAATGACGTCGAAGAGTTTGAGTCCCCGCCGGAAGTGGCGGATTGCCGACGCGCGACGGGAACGCTTCTTCTTGAACTTTGACATATCGTAAAATGTCTCTTAAACATGGGATAGTTTCGTGAAAAATTAATGGCGCGAGTTGTTGATAGATCATGCAAGTCGATGAATGTGTTGTGCGTTTAAAATCATGCATGTAAAATACAAGAGACAGGGAAATACACGAAGAGCTGTATCTGACGCATGTAATCACAATTTATTAGCCTCGCGCGTAACGTACGTCAAAAAGAAGCCCGCGATTACAGGGATTGCGCTAAAAATGATCGTAAAATACGATTTATTAAGCCGTGCAAAGCATATTTTCTTCGGAAAAAAAAAAAACGGAGACGCGCTTAAACAGTAGTTGCGCTCTAAGCGACGCGACTACACTGTGACACCGCGATAAAAAATATCGCTTGCAGCGGCGTTTGAAAAATTTAATGCAAATAGAGTCGCGCTTTATTGCACCGGGCGAGACAAAATTTGCCGGAAATTTTTTTGAGCCTGTCGCAATTTACATTCGCCACGCCAACGATGCCGTCGGCCGGGATGGATTATGAAAGTGATCGTCTAGTCGCCTCGCATTGCGGCGTGTAGCGTCGAACAAGATGTCATTCCTGAACCGCAAACACAGCACGGCGGACGATGATGAGTAGACCGCGAGGAATGTTTATGAAGTACATAAAGCTTACGGACGGGGCTACGTGGCGGCGCATAGTGATCCGCGAGTACGCCGCGAGTCACGGCGTTACATTTTCATTTTACTGGTAAATTTGCTGCTGGATAATCCTCTTGCGTTTTTCCCGCCGCGCCGGCTTGCGCGCGACTTTTGTGTTATCTCGAAATTAGCATTGCACGGATGTTTGGAGCTAAAAATGCCAGTCGGTTTTTGCGTTTTTTTTTCCCACTGTTAACGAAAACAGTTGATTATTTTTTGTTTATGGAAATTGACAGACTTTTTGCCTCGCGTCGGAAATGAATAATACTTAATGTATATCGCCAAAAAGTGGAAAAACCGGTAAAAGCAGATGTATCTTTGTATTTCATTTTCTTTCGAATTCAATGCCTTCTCGTCAAAGCAGTTATTTTATAGCAGTTATAACAATAACCTTTTGTCATTAATATATAAGACAGTTCAGGTATTACGAATTTATACAACTATATCTAGAAAAATCCATTTCTTGAATTCTAGCGTATAAATTCATCACACATATAGATGACGACCGTAAAGATTCGAGATCCGAATCGATACGAGTGTCGACTCGAATCAGACGCTAAACGTCCTCGCTCGACTGCACTTTCCGCCGTTAAGCTCTTCATGGCGGTAGATCGAAGACGAAGAGCAGCCTGAAGGGCTTCATCGTCGACGCAAAAAGCGTCATTGGCACGGCGCTATCGCGCGGGGACCGTCTAGTTTTTATTCTCCTCCATTACACGGGACCCTTCCCGAATGGGCCACAGGAGAGGACGCACGTCGCGCCATTACGCATTCATGAAGATTATATGCAGTTCAGACACGTCGCAAGTGGGAAATTGGGCCGAGATTGTCCTTATCGTTATAAATTACGTTTGATATCATCGACTTTTCATATTCTCGGCTCTGCCATTTGCGAAATCATTCAAACCGTCTAATTTCTTGTTCCGCCAGCAATTTTCTCGTTTTCAATATCGAGCGCTCGAGAGGCAGCTGCTTTAATATATGCAATATAATAATATATGCAAATATTTATTAGTGATTATTAACATGCTATACTTTTTCTATTTCATCAATATTCTTCGTTATTTTTATTTTTTATATACTTCTAGTCATGGTTAATCATTAACGATGTAATAATTAATTCATCGAGCAATATAAAAGTGAGAAAATTGTTAAAGATAAACAATAGACAAGATCGCTGTATATAAACGGTAATTTGCCATCGCGACGTTTTCGGCCGATATTTCGACGTGAATTGAGTTTCGTGAGGGGCGAAGAGTACTGACTGATCGAAAATGACTATAGCAAAAAGAAGCAAGATTTCGTATGTAATGACTGCTTCGCGTGCTCGCGATAATCAGCACGAGGCAGGCCGAACAACAGCGCGGTTGAAGAGAGAAGGATAGTGAGTTAAGATTGAGGATGAAATTAAAAAGAGGAAAACCGTTGGAGTTTAGCATGATTCTTTATAGCTTTCGCTTTTGGTGCTTCCCGATTAAAATAAAAGAAAAGATAACCTCTTAAAGCTCCGCAAATTACTGTAAAGTAACAAGCGACATAAAGTAAAGTTTAGTGCGATATAAAACGACAAAAATAGAACTTGTCATTGCTGAATTTGATTGGCTGTTAATGTGATTTATGTTTTGAGTGATATAAAGAAACAATGTGAGTTAAAACCGACGTGTTATTTCTATTTTAATATCTGTGGGTACAAATTTCCGCGCAAAAATTGGCTCATTCATCAAACTGGCAACCGGAAACAATCTTGAGCTTCACTTCGAAATCTCGACGAAGGGCGATAAATCAGAATTCCTCGCATTTTAATAATCTTGGCAGCACCACCGGCATATTTCACTTACGTACGTGCCTAAGTCATTGCGCGGTCTGCGAAACGTCACGCGAACGCCGAGACGAACCGTAATTTCCATCAACTGCGGTAAGTGGTCCAAGCAATAATCACGTGAGAACGCAATTTTACGGTCCGTCGTGTTGGCAAGGTTTGCAGTTAAATTTCTATTGCTCTCGTCGCATCGCCCCGATGCGGCCGCAAAGTCATTATTTCAATGCATCGGTTAATTTTATGGCACGTCCAAAATATATTCGATCAAAGGACGCGTTATATTGTCACTTTTAGCAATATGAAATCACTTGTGGTGCCGCGTCCGCATCGTCAAACGCATCTTCACCGCAAACAAAACAGTAATCTCCATATTTAATTTTAAACTTACAAGTCACTGAACTCTATACAAACTGGAAAGCGTAGCGTAAGCGAGTGGTCAGACAAAGAGAGGCGGTGGAATTATTTTGTCTCTTTTCTCCGCAGACTTATTGAAAGCCTCTGTTTTTATATACATATGTATAGATTATACATGAGTATATACATGTACAGAGTTCACAATCGGTAAAGAGAATCTACAACAGAAAGAGACAAAACAATCCGAATGCTCTCTTTGTCTGATCACATTTTAGCACGACGCTTTCCAGTTTGTCTAGAGTTCAGTGTTTCACAAATTATATTAATCTTTCGAAAACAACGAAGTAAAAAGAAACTTGAGATGTGACACAAAAAGTTTTACAAACTCATAACTCTGTTCTCATAAAAACACGAACTATCACAACTTATGTATATAAAAAAGTACATCTCTGTCCATCTGTAGATGAAATAATTTATTATTCGTCAAACGTCGCCTTGCAATTCTTTTTCCAATTTCTCGCTTTTCTCGGAAGGACCGTAATCCCGCAACGGAATAGCCACATTTTCCATTCCCGACATGCGAGGTTCTTTGTCGAAGAACGCTTGAATCTCCTGCAGAGTCTTGTTCATGGTCTCAGGAAGGACGAAGTATAATACGCTAGTCCCGATTAATGCCACGGATCCGTAAACGGCGAATGTACCTTCGGGCTTTATGAACTCCATCATAGCCGGCGTCGTCTTGATCACCACGAACATGCAGATAAAGTTCAAGCCGGATGTTAATCCGGAGCCAAGCCCGCGGAACTTCCTCGAGAACAGCTCACCGCAAAGCAGCCAGGCGACGGGAATCAGTCCCAGCGGCAGTAGACCAACGTAAGTAACGAGCAGAACTGCCGGAATCCAGGGTTTGCCGATATTAAACGTCAAACACGCGCTCAGTGACAACATGACGACGGCTACGCCGTAGCCCGACGTGAACGTCATGACGCGTCTGCGACACGTTTTCAAAAGAACGCAGGCGAGAATGCCGCCCGCCAAACGGATCGCGTCGATTATTAGCGTTATCAGATACGCGTACGTCGAGTCCAAAATCTCCGTCAACATGTCGACGCAGTAGAAAGCCATCACGTTCGCGCCCGCAAACTGCATGACGACGAAGTATACGGAGACGATAACGAGAGGCCTCGCGAAATATCGCGAGGACCAAGTTTTTCTCAGCGAACGCAGCATCGACCGCCTCCCGGTCTTCTTCACAGAGATCTCGGCAAGTCTCGTGTTCTCCAGCAAAGAAAACTCCTCGAGCGAGCGTTCACCGCGCAGGAATATCCAGGCGCTCCGCGCCTGCTCGATCCTGCCTTTGCCCAGCAGCCACATCGGGCTCTCCCGCGAGAAGATGCCGATGATCCAACTGATTACGGGCAGCGCGGCGCAAATGTACGCGGTGGTCCGCCAGTGCAGCCAGGTTCCCATCGCGTGACATACCAGTATACCGACGGAGAGGGTCAGACTGACCGCCCCCAACAGAACGCCACGCAGCACGGGATCGCTCGTCTCGCCCACGTAGATCGGAAAAATCGACGCCTGAACTCCGACGCAGAATCCATTGAGAAGTCTACCCGCCATCAACGCCTCCACGTTGCTCGCGAGACCGATGATCAGCCAGCTGACGTGATAGACGGGAAACAGCAGCGCCAATGATGTCTTTCTGCCGAATTTTTCCGCCATGAAACCACCGATCCAGCATCCCGGGGTCACTAGCAGAACGCCGGCCGCCGCGATCCACGATTCTTGGTCGATGGTGAGCGCTCCGAAATGATCCGCGGATTCCGATGAAGATTCGCTGCTATTGAATGATAATGCCTTCAACTGCGGAAATAGAATCGCAGTGTAGCCTACTCCCATGCCGGACGTGGTGACTCCCAACAGTGGTGCCAGAACTGTCAAGAGCTGCCTGAGATATAACTTCATTTTGCTATCTCGTACATAATTCATTGCGAAGTGCACTGAGCTCGATGAAAAATAATACTAAAGAAACGACGAAAAATAACAGCCTAACCGTTCATTCGCGATATTCGCTTATCTATGGCACAATTCGATTTCGTCCACTATCTCCGTTTTTCGATCAAATTTCTCCGAATTCAAATTCGTCGAATGCGCCACAATGTTTAATCGATAAAACAAAAGTGTCATTTAGAAATCACACAATGATCGGCGATAGATTTTCAATAAATACATAAAAATTCACTAAAAATGTGTTACACCAATTACGTAAAACAGCACTCGCGCCATATCTGAGATTATGCTCAATTGGTCAGCACGATCTCTGTGTGCTGTCGGCGCTGATTGTATCTTATCGCTCCCACTCAATAGCTATTAATGACTGCTACATCCGCATGCTAGCCACGAAATCGGCGTGCTTGTGCGCAACAACAAGTCTACTCCGATAAATGAGGACATGAGCGCGAGTGTACAATTGTATAAACATCGATGATTGCCGGGAAATACGTTCGTAATTCTATCAAACACTTCAACACATTATCAAGTAAAACGTCAAATAGTTCATTATAATCAAAGAAAGATGCTTAATTATTTATTATCGCTTTTGTCTGCGAAAATCATTTAAGCTCTCTTATTCTTCTCAAAATATAAATAACAGTTCCGATTAAATATAAATGATTTTTTACTTTTTCAAAAAAGAAAATTCCATCTCATATCGTCTATGTCAATATTATGTTGTATTTTTTACAAACTAAAACCGTAATTTTTTTCTGAAATTGTTTTAATAGAAACTGAAATTCTTCTTGAAGACTTTCACGTTTAAAACTATTTAAATAATCTTTTTCAGTACATATTCAGTTATATTGTATAATAAAATTAATGCCAAATAAGCAAAAGTAGCGAGTTACCAGCATTCCATTAAATAATTTGCAACAAAATTATTTCTAGAAGTCATTTTAAAAATATATCCAAAACCCTGCAAGCATGTAATGATTAATTTATATATCATAAAAAAATAATAGAGATACCGAAAAGAGACATCAACCATAAAGTAGAATTTATAAATAAACGATAGAGAAAATATTGCAATTTTTGTCACGTTTATTATTATTTTTTTCAGTATATTTTGAAAAGCTTATTTTCCATGCGTAAATGCACATTCGACATTTGAAAATTCGAGATTTATGCAGCATTTATATTATATATTAAACACAATTCTATTTCCATTCTTCTACGCGACGAATTCCATTGTCTCACGTCAGGAAATAATTAAGTCGGTGTACCGTTATGCCGTGTAGAAAATTAGACACTCTACGTGCGTAACCTGCATACGCCTTTACGCGAAAATGAAACTAAACCTGCCTACCTCCGCCTATGCAAAATAATTTCCCCGCAGCGTCCCGGAATACGCGTGGTATTTTAACTAGCTGAAAAGGGATTTAAATGATCCAGGTCGGCGGCCGCGGGAATTTGAGCGCCGCGAATTTAATACGCACCCCTCGTCGAGCGACGGGATGTTTCGTATTTTGGCCGGCTGCCAAATGCGATTTTCGCGTTATTTATCCTTCGCGAGGGAGGATGTGCGCACCGGCGCGAGAATGAGGGCCGAATTCGGTCGCATCGATGTGCCACGCGCGTTGCGCGCTTGTCTCGCCGATTAAAAACTAACGATTCCACGCGAGAAAAGCGATAATGCCAAGCGAGAGATATTTAATACGTATTCGATGTTTCGCTCTAATTAAACGCTTTTACACCATTTTCGCTGCTAATTCCCGTCATTAATTTCGAATAACTTCCATCCGTTAAAAAAAGTGAGATTTATATGTATCGTCCTTTCTCTTTCGCAAAAAATACCGCGCAATAAAGTCGTGTAAAAAGTGTCCCGCGGAAGAAAGGGATCTTTTTTATATTTCTTAACGTGTTTCTATTCTTTCTTAACTTTTTAAGACCCGTGCTTAAGCGACCTAAAAAAAGTTACTTCCACGAGTGATCTAATTTTCTCTGAAGTGAAGGAAAGAAATTTTATTGGCCTCACTCGAGTCTCCACTCGTAAGTTTCGCGTATTTCAGGACTGCTCGATAGTTAAAATTCTCACAACGCGAAGGCAATCGGTAAACCAATAGAAATCAAGAGATCGAATAGGCAAATAGTGAGCCTGGCGAATTTCTGCCAATTCTATTACCGGATTCCTAACTCTTTGATGTACGGTAAATATTCTGACGCGATGTGCCTGCTGTTCGTCTACTTCAACTTACGTCGCGTACGAGATATATCTTTTAATGTCGAGGACTCTTAAAAATCTCGTTACTTCACGAGTCTGCACTTCGACATTACAAGGGAAACTTGTTTAACGGGAAACGCTGTTACGAGAATACTCATTGCAACGTAAGAAGAATATATTTCGACAAACTCGTAAAAAAGAGTTAGAGTATAATATTTACGTGAATAAAGCAATTGATAATGACGGAAATGACGAAAATTGATGCAGAACAAATAAGGGCACACATTCAATGAAGCGCGTTTAAAATGTCATTTCAATAGTAGTAAATATATAATATGTATGTTACGTTTCTATAAAATAAATGGAAAACTGCATGACTGTAATATCGTCAACATAATTTCTAGGCGGATACGATGTTTACGAAGGTTTCTCCTTAGAAAGCACCGAAATTTCGTGGAAAATTTATAAGCGCAATCTCGGGAGAAATTTCTGAAAGACCTCAGGTAATTCTAAGGTTTAATATAAGTTTCACTCGTCGTCTCTTCTCAGCCTCATGTATAAGAGGAAGACTTATTTAACGGCGGATGCTCTTATGAAAGTGCATGTCGAGAATCAGGAAGGCCAGGATCGTCGTAGATGAATGTTGACGAGCTTCTGAGGAACGATACAAAAAGGCGTCGAAAGTACATTTTACGATGAAATTTCTATCAAGTATTTTCCGTTATTATTTACATAGGATGCGTCTGCAATGATATGGTAATGATACTACGATAATAACGCAAAATACTCTCGAATACTTCTAAAATACGTACAAGCATAAAATTTTAACGCGCAAGAAGACTCTCGGCGCGCGCATTTGCAAGACATAAAATTACATAGAGAAAAAACATAATTCCATTTTGGAGATTTACTGCCAATATATTTATCTATCATTAGCGGAACATCTGTTCGTTCTGAAGCTCAATTTGTACTCTATTCGCATAGCATACCTGACGACTAAAAGCTTCGAGAAAGCCGCCTCACCGCCGTCGAACACGGATGGACCAGCTCGCGTGGAGAGATTGATGTGTTCCGGAGCAGAGAAAAAACAACTCGCGTGGGATGCATTTGTTCGGGGTTTTAGGCGAAGAAAAAAAGCTGTTTCTGCGCTGGAACGACCGGGGGAAAAGTTTCCGTGAGAAGGGGAAGGGAAGCAAATGATGAAGGTCGTGAAAACAGGTATACTAGCTTTTCTAAGGGATAATGTGGCAAAAGTAAAAAGGGCTTTCAGAAGGACCCTTTTCGGCGGTCAAACATTGCTCTTCGTAAGTTTTCGCCAAAATGTGCTCTCTTATATAGTCCCCGCGCAATGTAGAAACGTGAGGACTGGTTAATCGATCGAGCAATGCAAACGTAGAACTCAATAAAAATAAAAGCACAAGACTCTGATGTGAAGAATCGTGAAGTAGAATCGAGAAAATATTTAGGATGTATAATTCTTGAGTTTATAAATATCTGTTAAAATAAACTCTGTATGCCATAAAATTTTTATAATGAAATACAGTAGAATTTATAATTATAAATAAACAATCTGCGCGCATTAAACATGCATTTAATTAAAAAATGCATACGCAACATCACATTTTGAATCAATATTTTTAACATTTTACCGTATAGTTATACGTATAGTTAAACCAAATTAAACTTGCATAAAATTTTGGCTAACTAAAACTTATTTATAAAAATAAAATTAATATTTTTCCCAAAGAGACATATTAGTATTTAAATACATTGTTAGATATATAAAGTACATATATATATAAATATGCAATAAAATGTTATATGCGGTTTAACGTAAGAAATCAATACGAGAACAATATCATTCTGTCATAAATCATCTATTTTTTGCAGTTTGTTTCACATGTTTCGTGTTGTCTAAAAAGAAAAGTTTTGAAAGCATATCGAATTATTTTAAAAAATTTCTAAAAATGCTCAGGTATTGTTCATCGCTCGGGCTATCAATCTCTCGCATTTTTCCCTGCGGATTCATAACGGATTCCCTCTTTGCAATAATATCCAACATTACCGACGTTCAGTATGCGAGTCGTGTTCAGTCGATGGCAAAATGATTGTTTTACGAGTATAGTCCCATCGCCTCGTTCGTCGAAACCTCCCGGGGTGTGAGCAAAACATTTTCTCCTAATACCCGCGAGATCCGGAAGGGAAAGCGACGCAGAGAACATATTTACGAAAATGAGCACGCACAAATGTACGATGTAAAAAAAATCCATCTTTAATGACAAGAGTGTCATAAACTTGATGTTCAATCGAACACAAATATTCTTTCATAGCTTGTTTTCATGCGCCAGCATATACACTGTATCCATATAAATTGGCATGAAATACAATTTGGGAAACTGTACGCGGTGTATACAGAACGGATGAAATTTTGGTACAAATTATCAAGCTACGGCAATTCGGAAGCGAACCTGGGATGCAAACATGTTGCGTATGTTTTTACGTGGTTTTTCTCAGTGGTATTATTATTTATTGTTTTTAGCATCCAGTTTAAAATCGATGAATTTTCAAAAAATTTCAAAAAATAAATGTTTTCTCTTTCTGTTCTATATTTCAATTTTATATCAGATAGGAAATGTCTACTATTTTTGTATCAATATATAAATCCTGTGTAAATGTTTTTTAGTTAGTCCGCCTTTGCGAAGTGGCTCAAAAAATATATTTTTACCGAGACCGTAAATTTCCAGTATCCTGAAAGTACAAAGTACTTTGACTTCTAAAGCTTTGACTTCTAAGTATTAAGAATTAAACATAAAAAAACCAAATAATTTATTTGTTAAAATATTTTTTTAATGCTTCTTCTTCTCTTAAGAAAAAAAGATTCAGAAGTATATTATTTCATTTGCCGACGCGAATATTTGACAATTTGCTTTATAGTGCGCTGCGTTAAGCTGTTTCAAATCCAACAAGCTCTTTCTTTCGATATCGTTCAGTTCGCGAAGCCTATATCGATGAGCTCGAGAATGAATTATGGCGAATAAACCGGGACAAGAAACGCCCAGTCGATATCA